ACACAAACGTAAGTAGAATAAGCTAATTAAATTGGTCTTTATTTTAACGTAGCCTAATACAATTTTTTTTCGTCAATGATAGAAATATGATTTAACCCTCATCCGTCCCGCCCAAACCTATAACAAAACTGTCCCTCGCGGGTCAAAATGACCTGAAGGCCAAAAAATACACTTTTTTTTTTAAGCTTATATTGGTCCATTTTTATAATTTTTATGTAATACATTTTATGTAGGTTTTTTTTAAATAATTTTTTGGTGATTTTTATTTTATTCACAATAAATTCTGGATATTTTTATTTAAAAAATTAACAAATTTTATAATTTTTTTCACCAAAAACAAAAAAACAGAGAAAGACACAATTTCTGCATATTTATACTTTAAACATGATGATCCATCAGGACCTAGGTCACTGAGTGTCTCTGATGCCATCTGGTGGGGAAAAATTGCATAAAATTGCATTTTATGATTACAGCCACTAGGGGGCCTTCAGAATCGTATAGAGTCTTAAATGAGCCAAACAAGTGAAATCTTTAAAACTACACTTATTAAGTTTAATAACTTAATAAGGCTTCATTAAGCTTTCAGATGTATCTCATTTTATTTTGTAAAAAAAATAAAAATAAATAAGATACTGATTTTACATCTAAACACATGCATATTCATACAGTTTCATAAATATGTAATAAATATAAAAGATACATTTAAAAATATAAATATGATATAAACTCATTGGTCTCCACCCCATCACTCAAATTTAACTGTAAGTAAAAAAAAAAAATCAAAATGACAGTCATTTCCCAGCATGTGTTTTAATGGGAGTGTGTGTGCCATGTGTGTGGGTATGTGAGTTTTTTGTGCATTGGGGACATTCTGCAGTCTCAGCCCTTTGTTTGGGTATGCATCTTTTCTGGATTGTGTCAGATTTTTATAGTAAACAAATCAAATAAATAAAAAAATTCTGTTTTTTTTCGTACATTCCATTCATTCCTATGGCCGGGTCAAAATGACTCACTAGGGACATTTTTTGTTACTTTTTTATTGCACCCACATAGAATCCTCGAATCGACTCAAATTTTTTTGTGTGTACCCCATGCTCAAGTGTGACAAAATTTAATTTAAAAAATCCGCAGTTTCTTCATAAACTCCATGCTTTTCCAGTGGCGGGTCAAAATGACCCCATTCCCTTCACCAGGGGAGTTCCAAACGCTTATTCGAGACAGTAATGTCCTACACCCTTCAAAGAAAACACTTCAAAAGCTCTGCCCTTCAAAGGGAGTAGGGCATAGGGATGCTCACTTCCGTTTGCTCTATGACATAACGAATCTTGCAACATGAAATGAAAAAAAGGACTTTGGCAGTTTGATACGCACTCCGACTCGCTGGTTGTAAACAAAGGATTCACAAAAGCTTCAAAGTTTGACTAAGCAGTTTTTTTGTTTGTTTTTATTTTCAGTTAGTACAAAATGTGTATGAAATTTCGATTTAAGCTGTGTAACAACTGCTGTAATATTAGAAATCAAGATCTTGTTTTGCAAACCACTGTTATAACTAAACATTAGGCTAACTAAAATAAGAAAAAGACCTTTAAAATTATCCACAGCAGCAATGACCATGAGCAGCATCATACTGAAAAGTCACAACCTTCCCAGGGCAATTGTTCAGGCATATGACGACACCAGGGTCAAGTTCAAGCTCAAACCGTTGCACAACGTTTTGCTCACAAAAGCTTCAAAGTTTGACTAAGCAGTTTTTTTGTTTGTTTTTATTTTCAGTTAGTACAAAATGTGTATGAAATTTCGATTTAAGCTGTGTAACAACTGCTGTAATATTAGAAATCAAGATCTTCTTTTGCAAACCACTGGTATAACTAAACATTAGGCTAACTAAAATAAGAAAAAGACCTTTTAAAATTATCCACAGCAGCAATGACTATGAGCAGCATCGTACTGAAAAGTCACAACCTTCCCAGGGCAATTGTTCAGGCATATGACGACACCAGGGGCAAGTTCAAGCTCAAACCGTTGCACAACGTTTTGCTACGGTTTCCGGTTTGAACGACATGTTTCCTGGAAACGGTGTGCAACAGGGTTTGAGATACGCTTTCTCTTGTTTGGTGGGTGTGTCAAAAATGTCAGCCCAATCAGCAGCAGCATGTATAAACCACCCGGTATTAAAGAGACAGCTTGCACAATGTAATTAACATCAAAATAAATTTGCAAGAGCAAGTATATTGTTTGCACGTTTATTTACATTAAAGGCAAAATAACTGAAAT